CTTAGCTTTTTGTTCCTTAAAAAAGGTGTAATATATAAGCACAATGCATGCTTAACTATATTGTGCGGACTTTCTAAAATGATGCCGTACTTGAGTCGAAGCTTCCAAAAATACACTATTTTTGGAGAATTCAGCGCGCATTCGACAACATTTTTGGAGAGTCCATGCAATATATAGTTGCTTACTGTTTCTTGACTAGAGTAGCTTTAATTTTTTATTGTGCTGATTGAAACAAATGTATAATCTTAGGGATTGTGGTTCGCATACTAGTTAGGCGGAATTATAATGTAATGAATTGTTTGTGCAGTGAATAATAAATGCACAGATTGTTATATAGGGTGAATTAAAATATACTAGAACGGGTTGGTTTAAATGAAAAGTGAGGTGGGTCTTTTACGGTAGGGATATTTTTAATAAAAAATTGAAACGGATGACAAATATAGCTTATTTTAAATAGTAGAGAAGTAAATATGACCATGTAAAATATAATGTATGGATTGTTATGCAAGTGAATAACTACGTTAAGAATATTTTTGTCTTTAAATATTTTGATATCCGTATTGCTAAAATGTATATTTTTATTTAACATTTTATTCCACATAAAATACCACATATAAACGCATAACTTAGCGTATGTATTATTTTAAACCGCCAACTCTACATAAAGTTATACATGCAATGACTGGTTTTTCTTATACGGCCAACCAAAACTACATTACTTATGTGAAAATTATTTGTCCTAATCTCTCAGTACCAAACATTGTCTTAGTTTGATTATGTTATTTTTTTATCTTTTATGTCGTTCGGACTCTCCGAAAGTAATGTTAGGTATGTGTCGGATCCTCCAAAGGTAGTGCATTTTGAAAGATTCAACACGCAGTGCCGGAGCTAGGTGGGCAGAAGGGTTCGTCCAAACCCTCTTCGCATTTAGTCACTATTTTTTTTATGTATATATATGAGATGTTAGAATCTCCTTGACTTTTCTACATGTGTAACTTTCCTGGCACTATCACTCCAACATAGGTGCGACATCATTTTGGAGGGTCCACGCAACATAACTTATCCCTCGACCAAACGAACCTTTAGTATTTGCATGATTTTAACTAGTGACTAAATAACAGTTAGAATACAAAAAAGGTCTTTGTATATATAATACTAACTGAAACTATATATGGTTTGAAAAATGCAGGGGGTGCTTGTGGTTATGGTAATTTGAACAGCCAAGGTTATGGAACAAATACTGCAGCATTAAGCACGGCTCTATTCAACAATGGTTTGACATGTGGGGCTTGTTATGAACTCAAATGCAACAATGACGGCAAATGGTGCATTTCTGGTACCATTACTGTCACTGCTACAAATTTCTGTCCTCCTAATCCATCTCTACCTAGCAACAATGGTGGCTGGTGCAATCCTCCTCTTCAACACTTCGATTTGGCACAGCCTGCTTTCTTGAAAATTGCTCAATATAAAGCCGCCATCGTCCCAGTATCTTTCCGCAGGTAATTCTTCCCATTACTCTGCTCGTCCCATTTTATGCGGCGGTGTTTTAACTAAGCATAGATTTTGACAATTTAACTTAGAGACATACAATGTAATAGATTTTTACACTGCAATGTCTTTTGACTTGTTATAATTGGGAACCTTTATTTTTTAGGTTACTAATTCTATTTTTTATGGACGGTTAAATTGTAGTTATTTTTGAGTAATTTAATAGTATAAAAATTTATAACAGTTAAACTCTTAAAAGAAAAGAAAGACTTTTAACACATATAAGCTAAATATATGCAAATTACCAAAATTCCCTTAGTACCAATACAATTAAATAAGAGATGGTAAAAGTTACACATGTTTATTCAAATATTCTCTCATAATAAAAAGGGTGAACTTTGAAGGGGAGACTTGGAGCAGTGGTAAAATTATTTCCGTGACCTATAAGTTACAGTTTTGAGCCATAAAAACAGTTACTAATACTTGCATTAGGGTAGGCTATCTACATTACGCCCCTGGGAGTGTGACTCTTCCTCAAACCCTACGTGAATACAGAATACTTTTTGCAATAAACTGTCCTTAATAAAAGGGTGAATTTTATATCAAGGGGTCCAACAAGTCATATTACCAGGGATGGAATGAGTATAACAAAATTCAAAGATTCCTAATTATGAAAATATGACATTCTTCTTGGAATAAAGATGAATCCAAGAATTGAAGTTTACAAGTTCCTACAATGACCTTAAGTTAATATTACAATAATTAATTGAAAAATATCTATAAATATTTAGTAGATTTCTTGGTACGTATAAGACAAAAGTTATTGAGTTTATGTGAAACCGTAACAAATACATTAGATTTGCCCCTATTTTGGAACAAATTAAATGAAAATAATACCACATAAATTGGAACGAAGAGAGCAGTACAAGACTCTTCTTGCTTATAAAGAGTGCATATTAGCTTCAACTTGATTGAAGTCAGACTATAGATTAAGAGGTAAATGTTGGTAAATTGCTTGCTGATATGGGATTCTTTTTGGTCTTTAACAGGGTGCCCTGCAATAAGAAGGGAGGAATAAGGTTTACAATAAATGGCCATTCCTATTACAACTTGGTTTTGGTGACTAATGTTGGAGGTGCTGGTGATGTTCATTCAATTTCCATCAAAGGGTCCAAAAATGGATGGCAATCAATGTCAAGAAATTGGGGCCAAAACTGGCAAAGCAATTCATATCTCAATGGCCAAAGTCTTTCATTTCAAGTAACCACAAGTGATGAAAAAACTGTCACAAGCTACAATGCTGCACCAGCTAATTGGCAATTTGGCCAAACTTTTGAAGGGGGTCAATTTTAGAGAGGGCATCAACTTTTATATACTGATAGTGTACAAAATTATTACTCCTTTTAGAAATAACCACTATTTGTGAGTGCGGATTAGTAATCTAAAAATAATTAAGATAAATAATGTATATTATACTCCTGATGGATTATAAGTTGTATTTATTCTGTAAAATTATTTTACAGTGTCCGTGCATATAATTTTAATATATTTGAATGTGGCATGAAATGAGTACGTTTGAGGGATGCTCCTCATGAGGAACGTCTAAAACAGGCAGCCCACATTTATGCATGGTCAGACGAAGGATAGCACCCTAAGGGTGTAATGTAGACAGTTTACTCTAATACAAGTATGACAGACTATTTTTACGGTTCGAATCCAGTAAATATATGTCACATGAAGATCAATTTACCATTGCTCCAAAGCAATAGTGGCTCCTCGCAAGGGACTATGACTTTGTATTGCTGTGGTGGCTAGTTTACACCCAGCTTAAGGCTAAAGTAGATTCAATTGGATTCTGAGCTAGAAATGTTCTTCTATTTCTGTATTTTTTTTCATGTATATATCATTATAAATAAGAAAATGATGAACCTTATTCAGTTTCTCATTTTCTATTAATTTAAACTCTGTAAATCACTTTACAAGATAGGAAAATGAAAGTGAAACAGTAATACCTTCTTTCATTGAATTTATCTGACAGTTTTATTTTTGAAATATTTCAAAGTATTTGCCAAGTAGTACTTTTGTTTAATTTTATATATTTAAGAATTATGATTCATTAATTATTCAAATTTTAACCGTTAACGTGACATTTTGTCTATCAAGTTAATCTTCAACTAGTATTTTAATCTTTTCTTTAATGATAAGCAATACAATGTAAAAGTCAAATTACTCCATATATTTCAGTTTATGTAACACCTTTTTATTTTCGAACGGTTCAAAATATTTGATACGCACATTTAATTTCAATATGTAACTCTTAGGTTTCAAATATTAAACTATTCACTCTTTAACCATTTGAGACTTGCATCATCTGAACCACATATACTAAATTTTCGTAAATTTAGAAAATTATATGTGCTTAACAATAACAACAACAACAATCAATGTGATCTACAGATTACAAGTGAGGTTTTGGAAGGATAAGGTGTGTATACAGTCAAAACAGGGCTTGCCCTTTCGTATGACTAATCGAGACTGGAACATGATAGGCCAAGGTTCAACCTCGTGTTAAATCGAATCATGGTGCAAAGTTAGATTGCCGAGCTCGTGACCCAGAAACCGATCAAGATCGAGATCAGCCAAGATCGAAACCGAGCAAGATAGAGATCGAGCGAGATCCAGGGAAGCTTACCGAGCCAAATAACGGAAAGCCAAAATATCCGCAATCGGGCGAGAATCACGGCGGAAATCTCGGCACGTATCAAGAAGATACAGACTAATTAGCTAATCATGAGAGTTCTTACTGTATTTAGAATTGTATCAAGGGTAGGACTCCCTTACTATATAAATAAGGTCTGATCATTTGTAAGACACATCACATTAACGCAATATATACAAAGCAATACACCGCCTTTCTTTAGTTTTCATTATCTTGTTATTCTGTTCTTATATCAGTTGAAACTTCACTTAGTTCAAGGGTGATCAAACTCGAAGGCCAAGGCTGTTCGATTCGTTCGGTTTGCATTTATTTCTTTTGTAGTCAATTTCAATATTAATATATATTTTCTTAATTTGTGCCAAGTTATATCAGGTATCCTTAAAACCACTAATAAATTCAATTGTTATCCGATTTTAGGGTAAATAAGGTGTACTCAAACTTTACCCCTACTTTATTATTAGGTAGAGAAGTGGTTTTCGATAGACTGTTGATTTAATAAAAGTATTTTCAAAATAGGTTTAAAAAATATAAGAGTAAAAGAAGGTAAAATAAAAATAACAACATACAATAATATATCCACTGTAGTCCCATGAGTAAGGAGGGTAGTGAGTACATAACTTATTCCTTACTTTTACTCAGGTAAAAACTATTTTCGATAGACTGTCGGCTCAAAGCTAGCATATATAATCATAACAAAAAGCTCAAATGAAAATACTAAAAGAAAGTAATGACAAAATAATAACAATACCCAAATATATATAAAAGAAATAACAAACAGTATACTATTGGAGAATAAAACATTTACTGAAAAGATGGGAGTGCAAATTCCCAAGAGACGAATGAAATGAACGATCCCCACTATTGGCTCCAAAGCCAGCGCACAAATGATTCCACCTTCAGGAACTTTCACTCGCAAACTATGTACAACCCTCTTCCGCTATCTCCCACCTACCCGTAAAACCCCTCGAAACTTCCAAACCTCACGCGCTCACTCTTCCAGAAACTTCCACTCACTAAACTCTCACCCTACTGCAATTCACACTCTCATCAGGCCCATTTCCATCATTTCCATTACTCGACAGTCTACAACCGTCGCGCGCGGCAGACGAAGATCGAGTATCGCCGGCGTTTCAACCATGGCCAACGGCGGAGGTAACGGTGACGGTGAAGGTTCCGTTACGTTTCAGTTAACTCCGTCGAGCTTGTTGAAGATTCAAAAAGGTGATATCACTCAGTGGTCCGTAGACGGATCCTCTGACGCTATTGTAAGTATTGAGTCTCTCTGCTTTTATATATGCTTTTGAATTTAGCTGAATCATTTCTAACTCTAATTATTCGATTTTTTTTTTTTTTGATATAAAGATGTTGTGTACCACCATGTACAGACTGAGTAAAAATACAAGTTTAATATTTTGATTTGGAATGAAATCAAATGCTGCTACAGTCCAGTGGGCTGGTCCCGAGCTCGGTGTGGAAAGAAGCCTCTTTAGATGAGAAGGAGGTTGCCCAAGAGCTTTCCAGCTCGTGAAATGAGGATTTTGCTTGGAAGCCTATAATATATTATACTGATGTTTAAGTCTCCGACTTGATTGTTCTTAGAGAAGTTTAATCCTTCATAGAGAAAAAGTCGAAGATCAGATAATGAAATAAAGCAGGTTGGCTATATCGACAGCTTACCCTACTGAGCAGTATTAGCTCTAACTTGACTTCAGGTTTACCTTGTGTTGTAAATATCAGAAAAACTTTGGATTCATTTGTGACCTATGAACAATTCCAAGTACAATAGAGGAGGAAAGCAGTACCCCTATGTATTTTTAAGAAAAGTATATCCAATATAATAGACCTTTTCTCTTTAGGCTGATGATATTATTCAGTTCTGCCTATGACATTTCCTTGGGGTTTATGATATACTATTTGATTCTGTCTATTTTTCATGACACTTAGTGTAATTGTGGTCTTTATCTTTGCACCATTCTTATACAGGTCAATCCTGCCAATGAGCGAATGCTGGGTGGTGGTGGTGCTGATGGAGGTAATTCTTTAATTATACTGTGATTACAATTTCTATGGCATATGCAGTCTAATTTCATGTTTCCCCATTTCTAGCCATACATCGAGCTGCTGGCCCAGAATTACGAGATGCATGCTACAAAGTCCCAGAGGTACGTCCTGGAGTTCGCTGCCCAACAGGAGAAGCAAGGATTACACCGTATGTTCTCTGTCGCTGGCTTCAATAATTCATTAGAACCATCAGTTTTATGTAGTATGGTGTCAGTACACTTACATTGTGGGGAAAAACTATTGCAGAGGTTTTAGATTGCCAGCTTCTCATGTAATCCACACTGTTGGACCAATATATGATGCTGTCCCAAATCCTAAAGCTTATTTGACAAATTCATATAGGTTTGTGAATGATTGTTTTATATTCCTCATAAATTGGTTTAAATGTCATACCTTATTTGATTCTCTTTTCTCTTAACTATACTGCAGAAATAGCCTGCGTGTGGCAAAAGAGAACAACATTCAGTATATTGCTTTTCCTGCCATATCATGTGGGGTCTTCGGGTGAGTTCATATGGATTAACCATGCATTTTCAAGTTTATAGGGAACATCAGCTGATTTAGCTATGCTTGTGATGGTTCCTTCTCAAAGCTAAATTGTGCACCAGCTATTGAGTATGAAAGACGTATATGTTGCGACTACTACAGAATGAGTTTGCTGCATGATCTCACACTTCATTACCTAGACAATAGTTATCTTATTTTTCTTGTATGTTCTGTTGGAGGGACTGATTATATGAAACTTGTTGCTTTAATGAAGCTACAGTGCGAAATTAATCTAATTGTTATGTTAAGATCACAGCTAATTAATTCTGTCTTCTGAATCTTTTTTGTGTTTTCTTCTCGCCACCTAAAATTTGCTAACCCCTCATTTTTTTTTGGCACAAGTTGTCACTTAAAATTAGGGAATCACTTAGAGTGTTGGAATCAATTCCTTTATCTGTTTGTTTCATTGTGTATCATGCCCTAAATTCTGCACAAATAAATTTTTATATCCTGGTGATATGTGTTGATTGTTGACTGAGAAAATTAGTTCAATAGTCTTTAGTTTGAACATATCATAGAAGTAACCTTTTTTTTTGCATAACCAAATTTACACCTTCCTGTCTCTTTAGGTATTGCCACATCGTGCATATGATTGTTTTGAAACTTCTATTTTATGAGTGCTACCTGTGCTAAGTTGTTTGCATGTTAATGCGTGAGGAAAAATGATTCTGCAGTATAATCACCTTTAGGAACAATATATAATCGTAGCAGCTATGGACGGTTAACTGTGCTCAATCTTCATTTTTTTTTGTACTTTACAGATATCCTTTTGATGAAGCTGCCACTGTGGCTATATCTACTGTCAAAGAATTTGGCAGTGGCCTCAAAGAGGTATTATCTGCTTATGGATTTTGGTTTGCTCAGAACTTGATTGCAATATAGGTCACATATCTGTTGAGACTAAAATACTTCATAGTGTTCTTATCTTATGTTGGTGAAATTGTTCGCCTGAAGCAGAAATATTGATAATGGTGGATGTGGCTCCACTGTTACTCATAGTATGTTGGCATTTTGTTCCTAGTTTTTGTTTTCTTTTTTGCTGATAAAAGTGTATATATATGTAATCACTGCGATGTTTATATACATCGCAGTGATCTATATAAACGTCACTGCGATGCGGTATTGTTACAGAAAAAGGGTAGCCCGGTGCACTAAGCTCCCGCTATGCGCAGGGATCGGGAAAGGGCCGGACCGCAAGGGTCTATTATACGCAGTCTTACCCTGCATTTCTGCAAGAGGCTGTTTCCACGGCTCGAACCCGTGACCTCCTGGTCACATGTCAGCAACTTTACCAATTACACCAAGGCTCGCCTTCAGTATTCTTACAAAAAATTATAAAAAAACAAGAAAGCTCCTAATATCACGGAGTTAATTTTTCCATGATTTAGCCCTCTGGATTTCTTTCTGTTCTTGAAGTGTCACAAAAGGCACATGGGGGACAACATTCTGTTTTATCCCATACATGAAAAACTTTTGAATTCTGGAATGAATATGGTCTATCTTTGCCCAATAGATTTTGTATCCAAACAACGAGAACAGAGAAGTCCAACGATAAGCCACTACCTTGAAATGCCACCTGAGATTATTTTTATTTTCCCTGTGGTTTTTGCCCGTGGAAAACTGGCTAGGGAAAAGCCCCCTTGGGGTCTATTGGCATGTTGCTCTGCGGTGAACCTTATGAAGTTCATTGAATCCAATATCATATGTCCTTTACTGCATACTATTCTGATTGAGATGAACAATTTAATAACTTAAACGTCATATTAAAACATAATGTTCATAGCCTTGTAATTCAAAATTCATGTGGTATGAAAGTTACCAGTTTAAAAAAAAAAGTCATGTGGTATGAATTTCTCCTGCAACTTCAACTCTATTTATTCGCCATGTACTGGACTTGACAGCTTTCTTATATACTTCTATATGAATGCACGTTTGGTACGTGGAAATTCTTTTTGTTAGCTATGACCTTACATGGAAGTTCTGGAACAGCTTGTGTGCTCTTAGTTCAGCTTTTAATCCCTTAGAACTAGAAGCTGCAGAATCTGCAGGATTGAATATAAAAGAGCCATGCCTAATTGTTGAAACACTGCAATTGCTTGAGTAACCATTCTAGTTATTCTTGCTTAGTAACTATTAATTTGATCTTGACACGTCTTTGAAAAATTTGTCTGAAAGCACCTGATATCATTTTCTGATGGAACTCGCTGAGGGACTTTTTTAGTCTCACTCGAAGGTGAGAAGACATCTTGGCTGGCTTGGGTATTTAAACTGTCTCTTAGTTTGCAGTTGAGATACTTTCATAGATGATGTCCTTTATATATATAATTTTTTTTTTCTGGAAAACATTCTTTTTCTTGGGAAAGCTAACAATACTATTATATCAGCAGCACAAAGGTTGTGCAGAAACCATATTACTTTTCAAAAGACACAAAATAATATCCTTGCTCTTCTTTCAAGGATTCTATGACATTTATGAGAGATTCAGCATCATTTAGAATATCTTCTTTACACCAAGCAAAAAATAAAGAAAAGCAGTTCATCTTGGCTTTCTGTACAGAGTTGCGGCTTCCTTCAAAGCATGTTCTGTTTCTCTTCTTCCCCACAGTCCACCATACACAAACAGGTATCATTTGCCACCATTTTTCCTAACTAGCAGTACCTCCAATATTTATCCAGCATGCCAACAGCACTCGTATATTCTTTGGCATAGCCCGCTCGATTCCTTTCATGTTGAGAATTAATTGCCAAATCTAGTCAGTAACTTTTTTGCGGAAGAGATGATTTATGCTCAGAATCTTTTCACACAAAAAACATTGAGAACACAGCTGCAATCCTCTTCTCATTAAATTTTCTCGAGTCAAGAATGCTTCCTTAGCTACTAGCCAAGAAAAACATGCCACCTTGTAAGGTATCTTCAGTTTCCATATTTCCAAGGCCATTTGAATCCCTGTTGCCCACTGTGATTGAGTGTTGTATATGCTGATTTTACTGTGTACACACCTTTACATCCTAATGTGTTACCTTATAACCTACATGTGGAAAGAGTAGATCAAAATGCCCATTCCATCCACAAATGATTTTTAATATAATCCAATTAGAAGTGATATCCTCATTTTGTAATACTTTGCAAATGCTACAGGGTTACCGAAACCATTTCTATGCTGAAAATTTGAATCTATTTGTGCATATTTTTGCTTAAAGAACTGTTTTGAGCATCAGTACAAATTTTCTTGCTTAAGATCAGATTCTGATTGTTAGAGCTGAGTGCTGACTACAATTATTTCCTCTTGCATCTGTCATAATTGCAGGTACACTTTGTGCTGTTTTCAGATGAAATTTATGATGCATGGTTGAAGGCAGCGAATGAACTGTTGCAGAATTGATTAGTATGTTTTTGAGCATCTGGAAAATGAAGTTTGTGGTGATGGATATTGGAGATGCATATGACACTTAGATATTGAAATCAATGAAATGTCAAAAAGAAGAGTCTGCTGAATATGAATTACTCCATGTAGTTGTTATTTTACTACCGATCCTTGTGAAGCAGAATAACGCCATTATGGGTTTTAGCTCTTAGCTGAGGCTGATATTAGCTAGCAAGCTTTCTATGCACCTATTTACTGGACTCTGTCAGGAGAATGATAATGTGAAATATAGTCAGTTTGGCAAGACTTCAATTACGTAATTTAAGGGATATTTCTGAAGTATAGAGTTTTGATGACCCTTAAGAAACTCTACTTATAGCCTATGTGGCCGTGTTTTTTGGCCTAAAGTATTTTTTCCCAAAGTTAAGGTTTTGGTCAAGCCTTTAAAAAGAAAAAAAGAAGTGATTTTGAGTAGAAACAGAAGCAATTGTGAGATGAGAAAAAAGTAGGTTCTGTTTTAAAAGTACTCCTTAGCTCTTTTTGATGTAATCTTGGCTTCAGTACAAAATTTGTGCCGATGATTTATTAATATATTGGATCTGTTACCATCTCAAAATTAAAAAAAAAATACTTTTGAAAAAAATATATGTAGAAGTATTTTTTAAAAACTTGATAAAATATTAATTGCTGGTAAAATTAATTAGTCAAATACAATTGCTTTTTTATTAAAAGTGCCTTCTCGAAAAACACTTTATAAAATAGATTCCCCGAAAAGTTAGGTATGGATTATAATGTATAAAGAAATTTTCACGCTGTCAATTCACTTGAAAAATATTTACTTTATATAAAATGAGATTTGTAATTTTACAAGTAAGGAAGGTTTTTGCCTATTACAGATAAAAGTTACTTTATAGTATAAAAGGTTTTACATTGATGCATATTAATTAAACACATTAAACACGGGATAAAGCACTGTCTAATAATAATACTTCGCTTAAGTATTTGTCAGATTTATTCCGCACTTGTACTAGTAGAAAATAGCCATATCGATAAAATAGTTAAAGCCTGTATAAGCTGGTTCAAACATTACTGTTGTAAAAGAAGGTACTCTGCTCACATAAAACCAAACGGTTCCTGGTTATAGTACTTTTTTTTTAGGTGAAATCCAAAAGTAGTTAGATTTACTAAATGATAATTGAAAAATAATCATAGTTTCAAAAATAATTGAAATATAGTCACTTAATTCGAGCGAAAATACTATTCAAAATTCGGATATTATTGTAGATTCCTAAATTCTCAGATTTATATACAGGTGCATCAATCTCTAGTATATTTTGTTGGAACTTTCTATGTTGCAATAAAATAGTATTATTTTTTAATAATAGTACTGACTATTTTTCAATTACTAATCCGAAAACTAGCTAGGTCGTGGTATTTTTATATTTTTTTGGGTTTAAAATTGAACTAAATCCAACCAGGAACACCTGGCTTAAAAGAAAGAGGCCATCTTTCACCCGTCTACTCAAGTAACGTCACTCTCTCGACCACATATAAAAACGCACACGATAAAGTTGAAACCTCACACTCGGTATTAGTATTACTATAATCATCTCCTCCATTACAGTGTTGAATTCGAAAACATCGAGCAACTTCCAAATGGCACTTCGAACCGTAATGACCAAAAGGACCTTAACCGGAGTACTAGGGTTCCGGCAACAACTCCGCGGCGTACAGACTTTTTCTCTCCCCGATCTCCCTTACGATTATGGTGCCTTAGAACCTGCAATTAGCGGTGAGATCATGCAGATTCATCACCAGAAACATCATCAGACTTATATTACAAATTACAATAAAGCCCTTGAACAGCTTCATGATGCTATCACTAAGGGTGATGCTCCTGCCGTCGCTAAATTGCAGAGTGCTATCAAGTTCAATGGCGGAGGTAAGTCCACTTTTCTCTCTTTTTGCTAAATTACAGAAGATTTATACAGCCCACACTAATTAATTTGGGATTGACATGTAGTTGATATTATTCCCTCTGTCCCATTTAATGAGATGTTGTTTGACTGGTCAAGAATTCGACTGTCATAGAGTTTTCAAAAAACAATAAATTTTGTAACTTGTGGTCTAAAATAACTTATAGATATTTGTATGGTCATAAATTATTTCATTAAGGTAATATGAGAAGTTTAAAGTTAAATTATTGTTAAATAAAGAAAGTTATCATTTTTGAGACAGACTAAAAAGAAAAATGCATTCACGTAGTTGATTGATAGATATTAATTGGTAGCTGTTGCATCTATTGGCAAGAGTTGTATTCACATTGTACTGAAAATGAGGGATTAAAGTTGTGGAGAAGTTCACAGAGAATGGGGGTTGGATGGTTTCTAATAAGATGGTGGATTATCTAGGAAAAATTGTTTGATTATTATCAATCATCATTTGACCCATTATTTTCAATTCAAAGAAATTTTTAGGCATCTGCCTCAGGGATTATTATAATCAACTCTAATTAAACTAGTGACTTAAATCTGAGTATCCAAATGGTTGTTTTACTTCCCACGAGAGAAGTGATTAGATACTCCAGTGATTTTGGTTTATTTATGTACAAAAGCAATTATATGGTCCCAAAAGAAACTAAGAGTTGGCGTGAACTCTTGAACTAAAATATCAACTGTTGGATTGTTTATCAGCCTGGATATACCTTGGTTTTCTCAACCGTGCTTCTTTTCTTACTTCCCGTGGTTACATGCTGTATAACTTGTGTTCATGTGATTGTGAAGCCATTTCATGTATCATGTTTGTCACCTGTTAAAAACATATTGTTCTTTTTTGGATAGTAAAAATATATTACTCATTCATTCAAGTTAATTTTCCTGGCCGTATATTCATGCAGGTCATATTAATCACTCAGTTTTCTGGAAGAACCTTGCCCCTATTCGAGTAAGCTAACTTCCTCAGACACTCTATCATTCTGTTTTGCAGGGAAATAACTTAAAAGCTAAATCATGTTGCAGGAAGGTGGTGGTGAGCCTCCGAAGGGTTCTCTTGGCTCGGTAGTAGACACTAACTTTGGCTCTCTTGAAGCTTTAATACAAAAGATGAATGCGGAAGGTGCAGCTTTACAGGGTTCTGGTTGGGTGGTAAGTCTGCACTTTTGTTTCTTCCGTAGGATTGTATACTGCAGTATTGGTTCTTCAATGGTGACTGGTGAGTGTTTGGTCTCTAAGATTTTGATTCTGTATCATGCCTTCTGTTTACATTTCCTTCTATGCATGCAGTGGCTTGCTTTGGACAAGGAGCTGAAGCGCCTAGCGATTGAAACCACCTCAAATCAGGTAATTTATCCTTGCTTTATGGTAAACTCTTTGATAGTGAGCTTCCTCTTAATAATTGAAGCTGATTTTGTCTAGTTTATTCAAATTTCTCCGCTTCTGTTGCCACTCTAGGATTATGTAATAATCAACAAAAAGGAAAAGGAAAAGGAAAATGAAAAGGAAAAGGCACAAGACGTTAATCTTTGTGCTGCTTCAAGTTTATGAACCTGCACTCATAACTTGTCATTCATGATTAGTTGCTCCATAGTAAAAGGTGATACTATATGTTTCTGATGTTCAGATGGATTTCGTATTTTAGATCTGTCCGGTAGTTGTGGCTTCCCTTTTCTTTCTGGAATAAAAAATGCATTAAGAAAAGGTTTAAAGCTCCTTTTGACCATGTAAAGATTCAGCGAAATCCATCAAGATGTCAAAACTGTTACATTGTACATCTTACAGTTACACCAAAAAAATGTGAGCATCTATATTTGTTAATTTGTACAGGCTTAAACTGTCTTTCAAAGCATCTGCCCCCGTTCCTTCTACTATTCCCTAGAATGCATAAAGAATTAGGTGCCCGAAGAGACTTCAGTCATTTCTTAATCCTCTGTCCAGTTTCCATGAGTGCTCGTCATTGTTCTTTGGATCACCAATTGTATACCAAAAAAGGTTTTAGGCACGCCCCAAATCTATCGACTATAATGACAGTGCAAAAATAGATGTGATGGAGCTTTGCAACAACTTGAAAACAAGTAAGCATCTATTGCATATGCCCATAGCCCTTGTTTGTGGAATATCTTGAGTGAAACGTGTTCATTTGCTGTTATCCTAGCAAATAGGAGCGTTTTGCTGGAGCTTTATCTTTCCAAATAATTTTCCATGTGGCTGGACTTCCTCTGTTATTGAATTGATACAAAATACAATTGTGAATTTTCCCACTTTCCCTGCCTCCCATATAAAAGAGTCAGATCCTAACTCTCAGAGGCCTCCAGTTCTCCAAATCGTGATTTCCTCTTCCTGGTTTTTCCACTGAGTTTAGTGAAATTATGTAAATTGGTTCCTTCATTATTTGGTTTGATCACATTGACATATCAGAGTTCTGCACTATGAAGCGGGGTTTATGCACTGATTAAGTCTTTGATTTTTTTATATTCTATGCGAATTGTGTATAAGATAGCACTGCATAAGAAAGTAGATGTTTCTCGAGAGAGTGATTGATGCTAGTGAAGGTTGAATGTGATAGTAATTAGTATCTACCTTTCTGCAGGATCCTTTGGTTACTAAAGGACCAAAATTTGGTTCCTCTTTTGGGCATTGATGTTTGGGAACATGCATACTACTTGCAGGTATAATTACTATGCTGTGTAGCCTAAACATGATTTATCATATGATAACGTTTCATGTGATGCAATGAATTTCCCCAATGTTTTCAAATGAATATTTTGCCTCTTTTCTCCTTTAAGGTTAGAAACTAGATGCTCTTGATGCTAATAAATTGAATAAAGTTCAGAAAACACAGAAGCTTGATGTGCAGAATTCATTATATTGAATGAAGCACGTTGAATTATTTTTGATTTAGAAGTAAATATTTTATATAGTTATTTAGGTCTCCAATGCACCCTTTCACATGCAGGTCTCCTTTTTTTGTTTTCCTTTTTTTCCTCCTCGTGCCAAATACATGGAACTATTTTTAGTAATGGGTGACAATAAGACACGATTGTAGGAACCATTGCTTTCTTAAATTCTATATTAAATTGCGTGTACCACCTAATCTAAGAGTTTGTTAGAATAGATGCTATTGCATTGAAGGCGTATACATGCGTACTCTGGACTGGCTAATTCAATTGCTGGTGTTCTTGTCATCAAGAGTTATCTAACCCCTTGCTTTTGCTCTTCACAATGCAGTACAAAAATGTGAGACCAGATTACCTAAAGAACATATGGAAAGTTATGAACTGGAAATACGCTGCTGAAGTTTATGAGAAAGAATGCCCTTGAACAGAGATATATGACGCGATACAGA